CCTCAAGGGAAGCCTCTTGGAGGCCACTTGGGACGTATTCGGGGCCTCTTGGACCGTCCTGGAGCCACCTGAGGGCGTCTTGGGGCCCTCTTGGATCGTCTTGGGCCCAACTGAGGCCGCCTTGGAGCGCTCTTGGACCGTCCTGGACCGTCTGGGAAACTCTCTTCTCCTCCTCCTCTTTCTCCTCCTCCTCCTCCTCCTCCTCGTCGTCGTCGTTGTCCTCCTCCTCCTCCACCTCCTCCTCCTCCTCGTCGTTGTCCTCCTCCTCCTCCTCCTCCTCCCCCTCGTCCTCGTCCTCGTCCTACACCTTGTCCTCCTTTGGACTTTGGACCGTCTTGGCCGCCCCTTGGGCCGTCTGGGCCCCCTCGGGGGCCGTCTTGGAAGGCGGGGGCGGCCATTCACCGGAGCTGGACGCGCCTCGCCCCTCAACGGCACTCCCTCTTAAGAGGGCCTCGCCCCACCAAAACGTTCCTCGCTCGTACCTCTCGCTCTTTCCGTTATGCCTGCTTGGCACGGGGACGGAGAGCGCATCTACTTTCAGAGCGCGAGATGTCGCTGGCTTGCCCATTATTTCTCTCTGTCTCCCCGTCTGGAGGCTCTCTTGGGGCATCTTGGTGGCATATTGGGCGCCATCTAGGGCTACCTAGAAGCCACAGGAGGTCTCTTCAGGGGGAACTAGGGCGTCTTGGTATCCTGGGAAGGCACTAGAGCGCGGTAAAACACGAATGAAGATTATGATAATACTGCTGATGATGATGGCGACGACATCCTGTCTCTTGGGAGCATCTTGGGCCTCTTCCAGGCCCTCCTTGGGCCGTCTTGTGGCTCTCTTAGGCTGTCTTGAAGCCCTTTCGGGCCGTCCTCCGGCCCTCTTGGGAGCCTCTCGGGCCGTCATGGCACAATCTCGGGGGGCCCTGGAGCTGTATCGGGCCGATCTTTCCCGAAAAACCAAAGAAGCTGGAAAACCTTCACAAACCTAAAGACAACAATGGTTTTTGCGTCGTCCGGCACTTTTGGGGGTCCTCTCGGGGGCCGCTTGGGGTGTCTTGGAGGCCTCCTGGGCTGTACCGAATCCATATTGGGCTATCTTGGATCGCTCTTGGGCCGTCCTCGGGCCCGTCTGGGCCTCTCTTCCGCCGTCTGGTACCCAAGCTGGCGAGGAGCTTACGCAGAGCTTACGCACCCGTAAAGAGGGAATTCCATGTTAACAAGCACCTGACCCCGCTCAGGTACCCGCTAACAGGGGATTTACATGGGATTCCATGTTAACGAGGCCCTGACCCCGCTTGGGCACCCATTAACAAGGAATTCCGTGCAATTTCCCTGTTAACGGATGCCTGAGTCAGCTCAAGCACCCGCCTTTCCATTGTGTGAAAGGCTCTGTTAACAAGGGAGAGGGCATTGGATCCCTGGGGGACGGGATGCCACCCCCCTCGAACTCCCCCTAATTTCATTCCTTCCGACTAACGGATCGCACACTACGCGCGCTTTCCGTCATCCGGTGTTACCGGGCCTCGCCCCTCCCCTGGACCCCTCCCTAGAGGGCTTCGCCCAAACTCAACGTACATCACTAGTACCTCGCTCTTTCCGTCACCTGGGCCGTCGCGGAGCGGAAAGAGCGCTTCGGCAGCCTGCCCGAGACGGCTCATGACACCCTTCGCTCTTGGCAGCCTTGGCTGTAGGAGCTTGCCGCGTCACCGCTCGCTCTTGGGAGCCACGCGCGCTTGCCGTCATCTGGGCCCGCGGCTGCCTACCCCCCCACGCCCCCCTTTGCAATTTCTCCCGACTAACGGATCGCGACACTACGCGGGCTTTCCGTCCTCTGGTCCCCGGCTGCCTGCCCCCCCCCTTGCAATTTCTCCCGGCTAACGGATCGCACGCGAAGCGCGCTTTCCGTCATATGGTCCCCGGCTGCCTGCCCCCCCCTCGCCCCTCCCCTGGACCCCTCCCTAGAAGGCTTCGCCCAAACTCAACTTACATCACTCGTACCTCGCTCTTTCCGTCACCTGGGCCGTCGCGGAGCGGAAAGAGCGCTTCGGCAGCCTGCCCGAGACGGCTCATGGCACCCTTCGCTCTTGGCAGCCTTGGCTGTAGGAGCTTGCCGCGTCACCGCTCGCTCTTGGGAGCCACGCGCGCTTGCCGTCATCTGGGCCCGCGGCTGCCTACCCCCCCACGCCCCCCTTTGCAATTTCTCCCGACTAACGGATCGCGACACTACGCGGGCTTTCCGTCCTCTGGTCCCCGGCTGCCTGCCCCCCCCCTTGCAATTTCTCCCGGCTAACGGATCGCACGCGAAGCGCGCTTTCCGTCATATGGTCCCCGGCTGCCTGCCCCCCCCTCGCCCCTCCCCTGGACCCCTCCCTAGAGGGCTTCGCCCAAACTCAACTTACATCACTCGTACCTCGCTCTTTCCGTCACCTGGGCCGTCGCGGAGCGGAAAGAGCGCTTCAGCAGCCTTCCCGAGATGGCTCATGGCACCCTTCGCTCTTGGCAGCCTTGGTTGTAAGAGCCTGCTGCGTCACCGCTCGTTCTTGGGAGCTGCGCGCGCTTGCCGTCATCTGGGCCCGCGGCTGCCTACCCCCCCACGCCCCCCTTTGCAATTTCTCCCGACTAGCGGATCACGACGCTACGCGCGCTTTCCGTCCTCTGGTCCCCGGCTGCCTGCCCCCCCTCCTTTGCAATTTCTCCCGGCTAACGGACGGATCGCACGCGAAGCGCGCTTTCCGTCATCTGGTCCCCGGCTACCTGCCCCCCCCCCGCCCCCTTGCGATCGCACGCGAAGCGCGCTTTCCGTCCTCTGGTCCCTGGCTGCCTGCCCCCCCCCCCCCCCCCCCTTTGCAATTTCTCCTGGCCAACGGATCGCACGCGAAGCGCGCTTTCCGTCACCCGAGGCCCCCTGTGCGTGCCACAGTGTGCCACAGGGGCGCACCTGGCCATCGCTCGGACGTCCATTCCCTGTGTTTTTTGTCGGTTTCGTGCGTGGTTTTTTCCCTAAATGATCAAGGATGCTCCTCGATGGTCCTCGCCGAAGAAAAAATGCACACGTCCGAGCGATGCCAAGAGGGGCGCACGGCGTGCGGAGCGCTGGATAGTTGTGGTCCTTTCTAGACTTTCCAGTTTGGTCGCGGCCGCTCGCGCTGGCCACCCGCAGAGATGTCGAACACCCACCTTCCAGTACAGTCATCGGCCTGACCTAAGGAACGATAAACAAGGGACGAGGCCCCTTTTTATCTCAAGGAATAACGCATAAGGAACGATACATAACAAATAACGCATAAGGAACTGTAAATAACGCATGTAATATCTAAGGAACGACCGAGCCCCTTTTGAAAAGTAAGTGTTCCTTATGCAAGCCGCTCACTGTAGCATCCCCCCCCAAGATCGCCTCCAAGACGGCCAAGATGGCCCCAAAATCGCTCCAAAACGCCCGAGATGGCCCAAGATGTCCCCAAAGACGGCTCGGACGGCCTCCAAGACGGTCGCAAGAAACCTTCAAGACGGCTAAGATAGCCCCAAGAGAGCCCAAACCAAGATTCCTCCAAGACGGCCCAAGAGGCCCCCAAGATGCCCCAGGAGGGCTACAAGAGGACCTCCATAAGGCCGAAATCATGTACGGCCCGTAAATAGTTCAATGATGTTAGCGTTCTCGCCGATTCGGGCTTCCAACATGCCAAGACGGCCCCAAGGCCCCCAAGATCGCCCCAAGATGGCCCAAGAGGCTCCCAAGAGGCCCGCAAGACTGTTTAAGAGGGCCCCAAAACGGCCCGGGAGGCTCCCAAGACGGCCTCATAGACCTCCAAGACACCCCTACATGGACCCACGACTGCCCAGAGAGGGCCCCAAGACGGGCTCCGGAGGCCAATAAGTCCCCTAGAGGCCTCCCGAGGCCCCCAAGAGGCCTCCACCCCAGGCGGCCCCAGGAGACCCCCATCAGGCCCCTCAGAGACCCCCACGAGGCTCTCAGGAAGCCTCCAGGAAGCCCCAAGAGGGCCTCAAAAGGCCTCCTCCTCTTCCTCCCCCTCCTCCTCTTCCTTCTCCTCCTCCTCCTCCTCCTCCTCCTCCTCATGAGTCCATGTTCCTTGTAACTAACTCCTCCCTGACGCACCCCGCGACATGTCGGTAGGGCGGGCCAGGCGTTTCGCCTGAGACCATCTCATCATGTACGATTATGAAGCTTACAAGCTGCATCATTTTCACGGATGGAGAAGTAATTTTCAAAATGTGGCTCTCGCCTCAGCGCCGCGCGCATCCGCCTTCAAGGCTGCAACAGCTTCACGGACGGAGGGTGGATCGTTTTCAAAATGTGGCTCTCGCCTCAGAGCCGCGATCAGTCGTAGAAGTTTACAACAATTTCACGGATACCAGGCGGTTCATTTTGTGGCTCTCGCCTTCGCGCCGCTCACATTCGTCAAGGTTTACAGCAGTTTCACAGAATTCTTATGGTTGACGTCCCAGAACTTGTGTTTCGGCACGATAGAGGATTTTCAGGGCGAGGCAGTCACGTTGATTCGCACTGTTGAAGTCCCAGGAACTGCGTTCTGGCACGATTCAGCCTCGTCAGGAAGGCACGGTAACGTTGATCCGCGGCGTTGAAGTCCAAGGAATTGTGTTTTGGCACGCTTGGGGAATTTCAACAAGCTGTCTTCCGACGGGGCACTTCCCGCACTGAAAACAAATCGTTGTAGGAACGTATGAAGAGCGTACTTGGAGGGGGGGTTGTTACAACATCGTTGATGGGTCTTGGATTTACACTGATCCTCCTCCTCCTCCTCCTCCTCCTCCTCCTCCTTTCTCTTCCTCTCCAAAGTGTTCCCCCAAGGGGTTCCACAACGGCCGGGGGAACGCAGTCCAGCAGCTCGGCCAGGTTCCGGGCCAACGGTTGGCCACGTGGGCGCTTCCACAAGGCAGGGGGCGGCGGTGATCCGCCGTGGGCGCTCTCGCTACACCGGGCCGCCTCGAGGCGGCGGCGGCGCCGAGGGCGACGACGGCCGAGGAGGCTCCTGGCGGTGAGCGCCTCCTCCTGCCACCCGGCGTCCGAGCCCTGCGAGGGCGGCCCGCCGCACCTGAGGAGCGGCCAAGAGGGGGGTGTCCAAGAGGGGGGGGTGCAAATCATGACCGGCGTCATGTGCGCGGCCCAGCGGGGGGGCCAGGGACGTAATGAAATAAGAAGAGGCGCCATGAAATCTGCGGAAGTATCCTGGCCCACGCCATGATGTCCCACCCCCCCTAGTCATCACCCCGCTCTTTTCTGCCCCCGAGCACCAGAGGTGGCTGATCATGTCCCGGGACCCGCCCCGCCCTCACGGCCCGGCGGCCTCGCTCCGCGGCTCGGTGGGAGCCTGCCGGGCACACTTCCGGCCACCGGGGCGCGGTCCCAGCGGGGGGGGGGCGAGGAGGAGAAGGTACCCATTACCTCCACCCTGCGGCCGTCTTCCGCTCCTTGGGCCTCCTCGGAGGATCTCGTCGCCACCGCTGGACTCGCCCCGAAATCCTGGTCAGAACGCGCCCATGGCGAGGCCCTGGGACAGAGAACTGCACAGGCGTACGCGCTTGGAGCTCCGCGCGGACTTCCTGGATCGGCGCTGGGCCCCCCCCTGGCGGCGCCTCCGGCGCCGCCCCGGGCGCGCTCCGCGCGGCAGGGAGGGGGGCCCGGCGTCGATCCGAGAGGTTCTCCCAGAGTTTCGGCTTATGCTGATGCCGTTTCCCCTTCTTCGAGGTTGCGGAAAGAGTGGACGAGAAGGCAGGCAGCGGTCTCTGGCCATTCTGGACAGGGCCCGCCGTCGGTGTCGCCGCGGACGTGGCCCACTCGAGACGACAGCAGCGGCGGCCCAACAGCGGCCGCCGCCGAAATCGGACCACATGTGCTACTGGGCCGAGGTGCAAGGTTCGGGGGGGACCAGCTCAAGGGGGGAGACATGATCTCGCCATCGCTCGGACGTCCATTCCCTGTGCTTTTTTCGGTTTCGTGCGTGGTTTTTTCGCCGAATGATCAAGGATGCTCCTCGATGGTCCTCGCCGGAGGAAAAATTCACACGTCCGAGCGATGCCAAGTGATCGGCGATACAGCGCCGATGGATCGGCGATAGGCCCACGTGGACACGGATATGCGTCCCGCCAACAAGCCGCGGATCGAGGATCGAGCCCAGACTTGACAGGAGGATTCTGGATCGAGACTCGGAGCTCCTGGATCGAGGATCCTGGATCGAGGATTCTGGATCCAGGAGGATTTTGAATCGAGGGCTCCGAATTGAGCATCGGAACTTCTGGACGCTCTTGGCCTCCTCTGCGCCTCGGGGAGTCCCTGGGGGCCGGCTGGATGGAGGCTTCGCCGGGACCTCCGGAGCCAGGCCTGCGAGCGGAGGCGGTGGCCAGTGCAACGGACGACTCCAGTGTCCTCGATTGCAGCCCCTTGTGAGGCGAAGCCAGGACGAGGACAGACTCGGGTGAGCCTAATTCAAGGATCTCTGAGATCTGGCGGCTCTGGAGGCTGCATCGGGCGCAGCGGCCTTCTCAGAACGTTCTGGAACGCTCTGATAGCGTTCCAAAACGCTCTGGAACCGGTTGATCCTCGTCCCAGCCCTGTCCGACTTCTCCTCATCCCACCTCCTTCCTCCTCCCCCTCCTCCTTCCTCCTCCGATTCAACCTCATTATCCTTCTTCCTCGGATTCCCCCTCCCCTTCCTCCTCCGATTCCCTCTCCTCCGTCCTCCTCCGATTCCTCCTCCTCCTTCCTTCTCATTATCTCCCGCCCCCTTCCTCCTCCGATTCCCTCACTTCGTGCTTCTCCGTCTCGTCCTTATCACCCAGCTTCTCAACCCTCTTGGACCTCCTGCCTCATCCTGCCTTCTGCTTCATCCTCCTCCACCCTCCGCCTCCCACTCCGCCTCTTCCTCCTCCTCCTTCTTCTCCTCCTCTCCTCCTCCGCGTCCTCCCTTCTACAAAGAAAATCCCAACACTTCCGAACTTTAGGTTGATTGAAACCGCGGTTGATCCGCCTGGGAGGTTTCGCTTTCTGGCATTGCCCTCCTCGTCCTCCTCCTCCTCCTGCGCCTCCTCTCTCCTTCTCTTCCCCCTCCCTGCTGACAGGTGGAGTGGCCACGCGGGTCCGGCAGTGACCCCAGCTTGTGGCGATGAAGCATCTGCGCCTCTTTCCCTCGGCCTTGTGGGTGCTGGCTCCTCCAATGCCCATCCTTTTGATTCGTGTAGGGATCTGGCCCCCGCCTTTGGCAGCGCTGGAAGAAGCCACACGCCAGCGCTGGGCTTTTCGCCTTCCTTGTGGTGCTCGGCTATGCCCTTCTGCCCGTGGTGGTGTGCTGCTGGCCCCCCCCCCCAGACGCCGCTGCCGCACTTCTGCGAGTGCAGCCAGCTGGCCTGGTTTTCTCATCGCCTGCAGCCGAGAGGGACCGCTTGAGAGACAAGCTGCAGTGGGCTTCCCCTGGGAGGGAGGGCCAGGAGGAGGGCAGGAGGCGGAGGAGGAGGAGGAGGCGGAGGAGGAGGAGGATGAGGAGGAGGGAAAGCGAGGGGGGGAGGAGCAGGAGGAGGAGGAGGAGGAGGAGGAGGAGGAGGACGGAGTGCGAGGAGGGAGGGCGAGGAGGAAGGAGGGCGAAGACGAGGAGAAGTGCACATCGCAGAACTTCTCAGAAGCGTTCCCGCCTGGATCTTGGGCCGAAGGCCGAGCCGCGCCGCATCTCGGGCGGGTCCCCGTGCTCAATCTCGCCCCTTCGGGCTGCCAGGCCACCCTGGGCCCCTCGTGGCCTGCCGTGCTGGTGCGGTGCCAGCTACCCTGCGGCGTCAGCGTAGGTTGCAGCGCTTGTTTCGTCCACTCTGCCTCTGCTGCAGTCGCCTCGACATTGCAGTTTGGTGGTGCTGCTCGCCTCAGCAGTTGGGTTTCTGACATCTGCGGCTCGCGGCCCGAAGAGGTGCTCATTTCCCCCAGGGCCGCGTCCGAGCACCTCGACTCCGACCCCAGCGACCCGCTGTACGGAGGAGCGTACCTGGAGGGTGGACAAGGAGGCAAAACTGGCGCAAAGGTGACGCCGGTGACGAAGGGGCGTCGCCTGGACGCCCAGCTTGCGCAGCGTATTTTTGACACGCAGGAGTCATTGACCCACTTGATGAGCCAGCTGGGCCAGCGTAAACCTGCAACGCATATCCCTGCGTCTACGCAACGCGACCGACCACGCAGCCAGCGACGAGGGCGAGAGCCAGCCCTGCTCACAGAGATCCGCAACTTGATAAAGCTCGCGGGCGCCTCAGCCCACACGCCCAAGCACGACCAAGTCCTCCAGCAACTGCAGGCACTGGCAGAGGGACCAGCTGCATCGGCTGCGGCCTTGGCGAACTCCCCTGCACCCAGGCGTGAGCAGGCCACAACAGCCGCCCAACAAGCTCGCCCCACAGTCATCATCTGACAGAGTGCTGCAGCGAAGACAAAGGCTGACGAATGGTTCAATGGGCTCGGCCCCTGTTCCGGAGCCGTCCAGTCTGTCAGTTTTGTGATCTTCAAGGAACCCACGCGCCTCGAGGGCAGCGAGCCCATCGAGGTTGAAGGGGCCCCAGGACACACACACACACACAAATAAATACACACAAATAAACAGATTCCCCATATTTTCCCATATTTTCTGGGTTTCTGTCTTCCCCCCACTTCCCATATTTTCCAATATTTTCTGAGAGATCGAGGATGAATGGCATCTGTGTGTTTTTTTCCCCTCCTGAGAGGTGCTCGTGGAGTCGGGCCAAGGTGGCCAGCCCGTCCAGGCCCTCGTGATACACGTCGGCACCAGGGCGCGCTCTGGCGCTCCGCGCTAGCCCTCCTTCCTCACCGACGGCACCGCCCCCAGCGTGACTTCCAAGACGCAGTTCTCCGAGGGGCGCCTCCTGGTGGTCAAATAGTACTGCTGCGACGACCTGCATGCTCGCATGCAGTGGAGGCTAGTCCACAGGAAGCCTTCCGCAAGAGACCGAGACCCCAGGGCGTCCCTTGATTTGGGGTGTGGGAACGTCACGCACTCCATGGCAAAACCATCAAAACCACCCTGGAGGCAAGCAGGGTGTTTCTTGGCATGGGTCTCCACTGTACAACAAAATCCCGTCGCCATGGCAATCCTCATCTTCGACGCCGCCGCCCAGACAGGGACCATCAAGGTGAAGGCTGCCCTGGACGACGGCGAGAACACAAGGCCCTGCTCGAGACGAAGGTGCCGCCAGGCGTCTCCTTCAACCTGCAACACGCGGACACACACTCCGTCATGGCATTGCCAGATTCCCGCGCATCGCCAAGATTACGTCCGATAAAGGTGGCTGCCCTGTCCATCGCCACAGCCCAGACGCGCCCAGCGGCGTGCTCAGCGAAACGCCGACGCGCGACCCCGGCGGGATCGCACCCGGGTGGTGCCTCCAGAGCGTGCCGTTCCACTGGAGCACCACCGACGATTGCAAGACATGGGAGGAGCAGCGATGGTTCAAGAATGTGACCCCCGTCGCTCGCGCGAGCCGCCGCCGCTTCCTTTTCCGGGCCCCCGGGTCCTTCCCGGAATCCAGTCGCAATCGTTTTCCCCTACGCATCCAACCGCGGCGACAGGAGAGGAGCCTGGACCCCCCCCAACCACAACAAACCTCCCGAGTCGACGGGCTACTTCGCACAAATTCGTTCCCCGAACCTTTCCCCGGGATCCGCTGATGCAATTTCTCGCCCAGGTCCGTCCGGTTTTGAAAATCCTGGGGCCCAGCAACGGCCCCCGGACATCGAAACCTACTTAAAACAAAAGCTGCGCAAACAAAAATATATGGAAAGGCGGCCGGAACTGCCGCGGGCATTTAGCTCGATCGAGAAGGGAAAAAAAGAGAGGCAGGACGAGGAAGAGGAAGAGGAGGAGGAAGAGGACAAAAAGAAAAACGATTTCGTCGTCGTCACCGATGTCTCACAGATTTTCGTGGTCTTTCGACCACCCGAAGCATCTCCTCGAATGCAGCCTCCAGGAACCATTTTCGGTGCCCGGGACCACCACCGAGGGTCCGGGATGAGGATCGACCTCCCTGGCCGGCGCCACTCCTTCGCAAAGGAAAAAACACAGGGTGGATCGAGGCTCGAGGCATGAGACTCCTAGTTCTTGGGCGCTCTACGCCCCCTCTGGGCCTTCAGGAAGCTCCTCGTCGACTCAGCTGGGTCCACTCTCGAACTTCTGGCCAGACGCATCCCCAGCTGGGTCTCAACGATCCCCGAGCCTATCCAGGGGGTGGAACAGGAGGCCTGGGACAGGCCCCGTGAAGGCTCCAAGAAACCCACAGAAGACCACGAACAACTTCAAAACAATCCCCCACAAGGCTCCCTCTTGAACCCCAC